AAAAAAAAAAAAAAAAGAAAGAATAAGAAAAAGCGATCAACGACATTTCGCACTTTGAGTGACATTCGATTGATTGAATTCGGATTGGGCCGTTGTTCGAGCTTTTCTCTTCTGCTTTATTCACTTGTAAGAATATAAACATAAATATAAATGTATATACATGTATATATATTTATATTTATGTTATATATATATATTCATTTATTTATGTTTATATACATATACTTTTTTTAAAAGTAAAATGAGCTTCGGCCTTTTCCCTGTTACTTTTTCCTCCCTCTCTTTGCAACCAGTATTTCTTGATTCCTTTTTATTTCCAGGAAAATTATATTTTTATTGAAGACGGAAATAACAAACAAGTAGAATTACTACTATACAATTCGTGTTGGAATCGAAAGGTATTGGCATTTGATTGGCGTTTTGGAATCTGACACAAATGTTATGTAAACCTAGTTTTCGTCGAGATGAAAAACTTTCAGATGTATACGTTGTGTTGAAGTAATTTATTTTATGTAACATCCTGCTCTATTTCTAAACTTTCAACTACTCGACCCTTCCAGTTGCCTCTTCAAACATACTCATTCCTTGCTATCCAATCTTTCAGTTTTGGTTCACTATAAACTGGTTGGCCTAACCGAACACAAAAAAGAAAAAGTTAAGGCACTGAATTACCTGTGTTTGTTGAGGTATCAGAAGAAAACGAGGGAATAGAAGGTAAAGAGGAACAAAACAAAAAAGTACAGAATCATAGAGCTTCTGCAACTTACCTACTCACAGATCTAAGTTACAGTCAAATTATTCTTCTCTTCTTTAGATCCCTGTTCCATTCTTACGTTAAGTCTTGATCACCATCCATTTTATCCTACCACAGTTATACATATTTGTTTTGTACAGTATTAAAACGAAAAAGTGAAAATTTATTGAAGTGAAACAGACTTTCTCCTTACATTTTTCTCCCGTTTTCTTTGCAAAAAATTCATTTACATTCTGTCTAATATTGAAGTATTAGAAAACAGGATCACAGACACAGCAATAGTAGCTTGGATACAGTATCTAGAAAAAATTATTTTCAGCATTCTAATCAAGAAACCTGTTTTTCCCGATTCTCTCTAAAAACTTTACAAATTGTTTTTTTTTTTTTCCTTAAATGCTTCTGAACTTAAAAACAATCTTTTTTAGCAGTACCAATATATATGGAAATTTCGCAGACCGTGCTTTACTATTCGAAAATTAATTTATGTTTCAATGCAGGTAAACCATGTAAATGATGGCAGAGAAATTAATTATTTACGTCAAAAAAGCTGTTTTAATAATTACTCCGTATAATACTTTTAACGATTATTTTAGTTCCATTCAACTATTGGCAATCAGTTGCCTTTAACATACTAGCTGTCATTAAAAAGATAACAACTTTATTGCACCTTTCCCTTGTCTTTTTTATAATCATCAGATGAACGTAAACGAAATAAAAGGTGATTGTATAAAAAAAAAACTATGGAAAAAAAGGATTTAGTTTACGACATCGTTCTGCTTTGTGCTTTGACTACGAGAAAAAAGTTGTGCAAAACAAATCATTAATTGTATCAGACAAAAAAGTTTAGAGCTGTAAATTTGGGCGCTCCCTAAGATACCAAAATGTCAGCAGTTCCCTCACTTCTTTTTCTTTTTTTTTTTGGATATACCTATAAACATTAAGAAATGAAACCGCTTGTTCTTTTTTTTCCCCCTTCAGCTTTAGCCTGTTTAAAATTATCAATTCGTGTCGTCAGTAATAATAAACGTTTATGCTGCAAAACTTCATTTTACTTAACATTAGACAAAACTTACGCAAGTTTGAAGCAAAAAGGAAAACATTAAAAAAAAAAGACGAAATAGAAGAACAAAGAAATTCTAAGACGTACCTTTTCAAAAAAGTTCTAGCAATTAAAGCAGCGTTCATTGGGAGCAAAAATAACAATTTGAAAATTAATGTATTCACTAAATTCGTAGCCAACAAACGCTATCAATTGGTCGGTTTTCGGTATAATAATAAACATTGTACAGAAGCAAACAAATTAACCAGTCCCCAGTGTTATCACCTGTTGATGATAACAGCTTTTCAGCCTTCGGTAACAAAATATGTTGTAAACTGTAGTTGACAGCAACAACAATAAATGAAGCAATAAACCAACATAGAATATAACAAAAACATTAAATAACACTTTACCAAAACATTTTACCAAACCATTAATTTTAAGGCCATAATCACTTCCAGCCTATAGTCTAGTTACTCTTCTAGTAACTGCTCTACCCAACATTTACATTTAAACTCAATAAAAAAGGATTTCACATAACCAATATGCGTAAAGATAAGTCATTCTTTACCTTCATCATACTCAAAAGAAACAAGTTTGCAAATTTATCCTTAGTTAAAAAATCTCCAATATATTCATCTGTAAACTGTAAGAATTTTATAACAATTTCTTCCACCGTAAATTGATATACCATACAACAATCTCCACACAGAAATCATTTCAAATTGCCAAAAGCAAATATTCAAAATGCGTCGTCCCCTCCCCTACTTTTATTTGCTAAACGAATCTAAACAATATCTAAAAATTCCCAGCTAAATTCAGACAAATTACCAGTCCGATTCTTACCTATAACTAATTTATAAAGGTGCACCAAAGAATAATTTCAAGAAACATACGCCTCACAAATATAAAATAATTTCTTAAACATAATGACAAATTGATAACACAAGAAAGTTGTGTAACTATATGGACAAAGCAAGCATACCCGCAAAACTGGATACCACTACAAAAAAATAAATTTACAGAAAAGACCTTAAACTATTACAAACTACTTTAACTCCAATTTTCAAAAAAAGCTCAAATCTCAATGATTGAAGCCTTATTATTATCATTATCATTATTATTACTATTACTATTTTGAAGAGCAGCACGTAAAGAACGTCCTGTCGGACAGAAGCTTGATACAGTTATACGCAGTTCCTAGTCGCCAGACTCGACTGGAAATAGCAGAGCTCCATATATACATTTCAGCTGTACACTATCAAGAAACAACTGCATTACGTTCTGGCCTTACATCGCGGAATTTCTTCGTCTTCAGATTATACCGTTTATAGGGGAACCGATCCATACGCTGCGCTATAGCTGGATCCCATGGCATATCTTTATCAACCCTCGTGTAATCAAAAGACTGATCCTCATAGTCAAACCAGTGTTCTTTAGGTTGAAATTGCCTATACAAACGCTTGTTCCTCAACCCATAGACTTCACCACCTCTTCCAGGAAAAGCAGTTATACCTTAAAAAAACCCAGAAAATCTGTATCATTTAATTACATCTACTATTGTTCATTGAGTTATATGCACCGAGCGGGGAAGAAGTGTAGGGAGGGAAGCAATAAAAGGCTGTTGGAAGAAAACAAGCAAAGCTATTAAGGAACAGTTAATAAGTTGGAAATGGTCAAATATAAAAATCTGACAAAAAAAGCAAGATGCTCCTGCATAACTTTAAAATAAAACAGTTTTACAGTTATCATCAATTTTACTCTATACCTCCATGATACGCATCTTTATCTTCAGGGTGGAAGCGAAAAGGATGTTCAATAATATGCAAGTTTTCTGGAATAGAGCCAGACTTGTCTCGCGCCATCTGCGCATAAACGGTCAAATTACTGACGGGCGTCTTGTAAAAATTTATAACATCCGCTACAGTTTCGATACGATGCAGTTCAGGATTTGGAACCCAATGATTGTATAAATGACCTAAGGCCTCCAAAAGCTAAAATGAAGTGACCGGAACTAAACTTAAACCTATCCGATTGAATGCTGAAGTAAAAACTGATGGAGATAAAAATAATGTATTTGAAACGCCAACTTTAAACTTCAATTTGAGGTCTTTCTGAAGATCAATTTGCGCTATATCTTTATAGGATGATACAACCGCTGAGTCAATCTGCTTGAGAGTGCTCTCAATATTTTGCTCTAAGTCGTTAGGCGGATTGTAATTGAATCGATATTTCAATAACCTAGAAAATAAAATGCACGCAATAAGCAATGACTAGAAAGGTTATTATCCAAATCACAAAAAAAACCCTCGAGCTCGAATCGAATCCATGTCGATCTTTTTCTCAATGGCTGAAGCTTCCTCAACCGCAAGTGTTTCTGTATATATCGGGACATCCTTTGCCTTTTCCTTACGTATAATGGACATAAAACTCTTTAACTTCTCCTTAAATGAAAGAAATGCCTTGACCAAAGTGAAAAAGACATTCAACACTAGCCCCTTCCCTACAAAAAAAAATTGAAATTACAGAATCATAAAGTTTTAGGAACCTGTTCGGCTTTCGACAGTACTTTCCCACCTTCCGGATCCGGATTCTTTTTTAAAAAAGGTATCAAGTTGCGTACCCGAAGGCAACGCACGGCCGACCGATGCATAGCCCTAAAGCTTTGAAGAAGGAATAAACAGTTATTACACTAAAACATCAAAAAATATTGCCATTTCAGAAAGAAATTATAGGATTGGTACCAGGAACGTAAAAGCGAAATGTCGCAAAATATACAAAGCTTCACACTTGCTTGCAACATCAACTTCAAATAATACAAAGTTCGCTTTAATAAAAAAAAAATATATCATTCATATGTTCTTGATGTTATTTTTTTATTCAAATATATTTTGTAATATATGTTACTATGACAAAAACAAAGTCGTGGCCTAAACATCGCAATTAAACAACCAGTGACTTTCGAACTTCACAATGTTAGGATAATGACCGCTTTATTTACCATTACACAAAACCTTTCAAGAATTAGAAATAAGAGAAGTGGAAAAGACGAACTATTATGACAAAATTAAAATAATCTTATTCCTAGTCAATATAATTATTGTGGCGCTAAACCTTTTGGTCTAGAATACTTCATATATATTGTAGAATTTTTGAGAACTGCTTGCTAAAATAACCGTAATTTTACCCTTCACGCTCAGGAACCTAAAAAAACCGACCCCTCCCTTTTTTAAACCTAAAGCCGTCGTGTTATACCTTCTTACAATTATTTTTTTCACAACCCTTGACACCTATCAAAATTTGTTTTCGACAACAATCATAGCTCCCAGAATTTCAGGACCAATGACCAAATTTATAAAAACTTCTTAGACAAATATTCAAAATAACAGCAAGAGAAAATCACACCAAAAAATCCAACTATAACGAGCTGAAAATCAGTTAAAACTGAAAGTTTTAAGGCAATCTAAAGCTTCATCCATTTTAAACCTGCTCGTTTTTGAACAATTTTTAACTGCCACCTTTAAAACATTGTGAATATGCATCAAAAAAATCTTCAAGACACAAGACTTCCGGTTTATGGGTCCTACATGACCCATAATTGAGTATCGCCACTGAATCCCGATTTAGTACGCTAAAAATCATAAATTTTTTGATTTAATAAATTCGATATCTTAAGAAGCAGTCAGACAAAGATGGATCACTCTTCTCAATTTATCAGTTTAAATCCAACAGAAACCAAACTTAATTTTAAAAAATCAACTGTTAAAATCTCTGTTTTCTGAAGCTAAATTCCCTGCTGCTTATCGAACTCCCCCACTCCTGCTTTGGTCAGTAAGCGCTAGTGGTAAGGTACCACTAAAAGAACACTACCTGCATTAGCTCCACAACAGAAAATCATCACCTGTGCAATAAGTAATTTGTTCGATTTTCTGTAGAGCGTGGAGGTCTTATAATTGACAAAAATGGAACGAAATGAGCAAAGTTTGATTTCCAGACAAGGCAATGTTCAGCAAGAAACCATTCAATCATAAAACAGGCATTTATCACAGACGTCTTGGCAACTTGCATATGGAATCGTACGGGATGCAACGACCAAGTTAACTGTAATGCTGAAATTTCGTCAGGAAAAGACTGCGAGGATAGAACACGGTAATAAAATTTGTGTTGAAATTATGCCAAAACAAAATTTTGAAAGCTTTCCTTTCGAGGGGAATAATCGAGGTTAGCTAAAGGCGGGAAATTTGCGCGGATGTTCTTTGATCTGTTTTGTTGAAGCGACAAACGTTGGGGTAGTTTTTGGAGATATTGCAGCCGCTTCTGAGGAGTTATTTCTGATGGTTGCATAGTTACTATTATCATTGATATTATATTTGTATTATATTTGTTACCGTTGTGTTTTTAGTGTGTATTTTTCAACAGATTACCTTCTAGCAAATGTCAGCGTGGAGAAACGACAGTTATGATATTGGGACAGCTGGAGGCTGGAATGATGTCAGCTATTCAGCTACTGAAGCGTCATCAGAAATTTCACCACCGGATGGCAAATTTGTGGTACCAGTCTTGATAACTTACTTAAACCGGAACACTGACCCAAATGAAGAAAAAGTAGTTTTTGGGAAGAATTCATTCACAATAGTGAGTTTATTAAAGATTTATAGGACTGATTATTAATTTTTTTCTCTGTGTCACTTTGAACTTTTTTGTTTTTTATCTGCAGGACTAAGATTATTGTTTTGCAGCTACCAGTCAGAAGACTGGAGTAGTTATCGTGTTTTATAACATGTTATACAAAAGTTTCCAACAAAAATTGTTTTTGCTTACATTAATTCCTTCATTGGCTCTTTATTCACAGGTCAGAGTAATTGGAGTTGTCAGAAGTGCAGAAGAGCGAGAAGGTGGACAGTCTGTCGAGTACAAGATCGCAGATGATTCCAGCAGTGATGAGCAATTTACTGTGATCCATTACAGAGGAGTGGTAATTTTTTTAATATATTAATCAACTTTTTCGAAATGTATACCTTTAATAAGTAAAAGTAAATTGTGGCGGTTCTAAGATTTGGCAACCGTATCCTCAAAGCTTTATTATTTTTTGGTACTGGAGCTCATTTTAGTCGGGAACAGAAAAAAATCATTGAGACGAGAGAATAATGTGGTTGTTTAGACTTCCAGTGATACTACTGTTGAATCCTTTGTTGAGGGAACGGCAGTGGCTGTTGTTGGCAAGCTGAGGACATTTGATGAACGGTTGACAATAGTTGCTTATGACGTTAGTCATTTGAAATTTTCTATCAAGATTTGTTTGAAGTATATTTTAATGTATTTTCTCAGTAAATTGCACTCTTCTGTAATTTTTCTTTTTTTGAGGTTCGAGAAGTGGAGGACAAAGAGGAACATGAAGCTTTTCGCCTTGAAGCAGAGTTAGCAAGATTGTACTATACGAAGGTAATAAATACTGAAGCTTTTTAAATTATATTTGCCTTTCACATGTGTTACTGCTCTATTTAAGAAGAATTAGCTTTGTTGAAAGTATTAATCTGGCAGGACATTATCGAGAAGGTCAGAGCCAACCCTGCTCATTTTGAAAACACGATTCTTTGTGGAATTCGTGGGGATGGAAATCCTCAACAGAGTGGGGCGTCATCTGCATCTCCATGGGGTCAGGGTTCTCAAGCGACATTCCAAAAAAATGGACTTGAGAATGCAAAAGGGCTTGATGGACAGAGAGCTGCGGTAATTTTTTTTCTTCAAAAGTTTGAAGCATCTTCTATTTATATCTAATGTTGTCGTTAATTAATGGACTGAAATTGCATCAGCGAATTATTGTAAAGTAGCGAATGATACTGAAAGTTTTCAGGTTTATAAGTATCTTAATGATGTTGGGGGTGCAGATGGCGCTAGTTTAGACGATATAAAACGAAATATACCTAGAAACGTGTATAATCAGAAGACGTTTGCCGCCGATCTTGAATCCCTTCTCTCTGAAGGGCACATTTATTCCACTATTGATGACGAACATTTTGCGGCCAACTGATGCATCTTGTAAATTTTATTTGAACTGGCTTGTTTGTCGGTGATCTCATTGCCATATTGTGTTATTGAGTCATCACTTTTGGGTTGCTGATACATGAATGTTACTTTAATAGTTGCTTTCTTATTTTGGATTTTTTCAAAAGTTTTGCTAGGTTTTTATCCTGCCTGATATTCTTTATGCTTATAACAGTGACTATTTTACAGCTCCACTTCTCCTTCTTGCAACTTGCCTTTCGTTTACGTTGGCTTATCATACAGAATAGAATAGAAATTTGTTCGATAATGACTTAGAAGACTTGTGCTTAGGAAAAATTATCATTTTGTTATTTGCTTTTTAGAATTTGGTTTCATTGTTTTTGAATGGAGTTTGGAAGAGCACTTCTGCTTTACAGAAGAGTTCCCTTCGTTTCTTGAACGGATACGGATTGGTTCAATGTTTTCGATGTTTTTTAGTTCTTAGACGTGCCGTAAAAGCTCATGTCGCCTGAAACTGAAGTGTATTGCCAGAGCGGGTAAAAATGTTTCTTTGCAGAGATATTTCATTTCTCTTCCACGCTGTTATTGTTGTTTAAAAACTGGTCGTTGTTTTCTTTTTCAATTTTTTACGTGGCGGTTGAAAGAAACTCAAAGTTTCACCACTTATTAACTGTGTGTTTCTTTGCCTTATACTTGTTGTTTCCGTTATTTCGACTTGTTTAACTCGTATTATTCTTTTGACTGTACATTAAATATTCATTTTTAAGACATTTAGAGAGGGTATTATTTTTAATAAGACGGATGCTCCCTCAGTCCTTTTCACCAAACAGGCCCTCTAATCGTTTGAAAGTCACCAGTAATCTTTTAATCTTTGTAATTCCCTTCAGACAGAAGCACTTAACCCTACGTGCTCAAATTCGCCAGAAGTTATTCTGGTGTTAAACATTTGCGGGAGCCATAGCTGCGAGATAAGTTCTGTCGTGCCTTCGCGGAAGTTAATTGTCCGCGGGTCCGTCACAGGGAAAGGTTACTGCAAAAGGGTTGAAAGTGAGTGGGGGTTAGGATAGAGTTATTACACTCTAAGCTAAGAAATATGGGTAAGCGGAAGTTTCTTTGTTACACTGCTGGCCTCCGAGCAGCAGTTTGTAAATGAAAGTCTGCTAGTCGTGATAAGGTGTTAATTTGAGCGAGTAAGGATATTGTTTCTTTTCCGGTTGTTTAAAACTTTGGTGGGTAGGATGGCGGATTTGGTGGAGCTCTTGCAGGCTGGTAGCCTCATCGCACTGATTGTCTGGCTGTTTTTTGAAGGGAAGTTGAGGGAGGCAGGATCAAAGACAAGGGGACAACAGCGGTTGATTGCGGCTGAGCGAAACGAAGTCATGCCGCAGTCCTTGTACGTAGTTACATCTTAAAACGCGCACTTGGTAGGAGGCGTAGAGCATTAGCACTGGCTCAGGTTTCAGTGCTATCAGTTCCAAGTTCGGGAACTTTGCAGCGTGGTTTTGTGCGCTCTAGCCTTCTGTGTGGTCCTGTAATCAAGCGAAACAGTTGTTCATATCCCTGTTTCGCTTTTGGAGATGCTTGCACGGAGTATTTTGGGAGGTGTCCTTCAGAGATCAAGGGTCCTGGTAATAATAAAGTAGTGGAGACTGATGAAACGCTCTTCACTGGAGGGGGATGCTACGAGGGTACGGTGGTAGAGAAGCGGTGGCGTTAAATGAAGACCAATAAATATTTCTTTCTTCCAGTGGAACGACGAGATTTTACGGGTCTGCCGCTGGTTGGAGAGTACGTTGTTCCTGGAGTAACTAGAGTGTCTGACTACGGGGCTACATGTAGTACCATGAAGAATATGTCAAAAGGTTATCAGCACTATACTGTTAACCACTTTCTCCACTTTGTTGACCCTGAGCCTGCTGCTTTCAAAAACACCATTCAGTCTCTATAGCACAAATTCAAAGGGGGGCGTAGGTCACGGTAGGGGACAGAGATGGGGCTCTTGAATTCGTATCAGGACGATTTATTATGGAGAACGATTCACGGGGACAACCCGTTGTGCCACCTTTGGCTACAAATAGCCGAAAACTATCTACCATTTACGGTTTTGTATATAACTGTGGGCTTCTTTTGCTGGCTCCTGATCCGTCATAAAGCGGTCCATTTTTTGGGAAGCTCTTCGTATGAAGGGCACTAATGGAACTTTTCTCTCAGATTCGAAAAATAAACCAAGGAGCTGAAAATGAAAAGTGTGAAAAGTTCTCTCCTCGTTGCACTTCGCAGATTCAAGTTTTTCTTTTCTTGACATTAGATGCCTGGTAAGAAAATGAATTTTGAACTTAAAATATGTGGCATTCGCGACATCCACGGAGCTGTGATCTGTACACGCCTGATCTTCTGACTTGTGCCATTCTTAACCTATGGCATTCAACTATAAGTTCGTCTGTAAAGAAGTATCTTGAGTTTGTTTGGCATTTGTTAGAATAAGATAAGCTTGTGCGTGAAAACTGTGCTAGTTGTCGAGAACTATTTATGTTTACTCTTGTAAAAAAAAAGCGCTCGGGGTGGGTGTTAAGTAGTTTTTGGAAGCGGAGGAAGAAGCTGTGCCTGCTAAAAAGGATCTTAGAAAATAGGGAGTCGCAGCAATGTTTGAAGCCGATTTTAGTTAATATTCATTAATTGTCAGTGATGCTTTAGTATGCGTTAAAATGGGCTTAGTACTTTTTTCAACTTTTTAGGAGAAGCGTTTTACTCATTCCAGATATAATAGGTGCTTTCTGAAAATTGGACTTTTCTATCTGATTGGGTAAATTCGCTTTACCGAGAAAAGATCTGCAGCTTTTGAGTAGTTCTTTTCCAATCAGTTTTGAAGAAGTAGAGGCGGTAAACGTTAATTATTTTATTTGTAAATGTTAATTTTCATAATCGTTGTTCGAAGTTTACTTTAAAATAAAGCCAGAATTTCATTAGTTTTTTTGCCGTTTGCTGTTTGTAAATTTTCTTTTTACCAGGTATCTTTAATTGCATTTTTGCAAACTATTTTGAACATGTGCGATTGTAAGGTAA